ATATATATATATATATATATATATATATATATATATACTAGGTCAAACAGAGAACTGCCGACTGACATCCTATATGTTTATTTATACATGTGCATATGTGTTTTAGACCCACACATAATTGTAATGGTCTGTTTTAAAACTCTGGGTCCCAACAAGTTTTAAAGCTCTTGAATTTCCCCTTGGGGATCAATAAAGTATCTATCTACCTGTTTTCTACCAAAATGGACTTCACATGGTCTAGATCTTAAGAAGATATTTACACTGTTATTGTGTGTGTGGCCAATAAGTTCAAGTAAAGATGTCAGGTAGAATAGATATAAAAAAATATAGAGGTTAACAGCCATGAAACCACATTTGATTACATCTAATTACATCTATCTATCTATCTATCTATCTATCTATCTATCTATCTATCTATCTATCTATCTATCTATCTATCTATCTATCTAAATGCTAAATACCTTTAAGGGTGACATCTCTACCGTATTCAACAATCTGTTAAAACTCTGTTTCATTACCTTTGGGAAAAACCAACAGATCTTAAAGCATGTCTGAATGGTATTCTTCATTCTACTTCTGAAGTTTAACTTGCTGTTTATGATTAAATAAACAGTGGGTGATAAAGCCCAGAGCTATTTGATTATCAGAGTTTTCTTCATTTATTTTTTTATCTATTCGTTTATTTGATAGGGACAAGTATGTTTCATGAAACATGTCACACTCTATAACATTTTAGCTAAAGGCTAATTCTCAATGCTTATCCCCAGTTAGGCTTTTACAATAAACACAGGGACTGTACACAACAGAACAAATCACACACTAAAACATCACAAATACAAGATCAGGTCAGCTAGATTATTAATGTCCACATGTCTGACCTCTCAATTAAAACAATTTTCAAAATTGAGCATATTATATTTTTCCAAAATATTACACTGATGGAAGGACAGGGGCTTTTGACCAAAGATTTTTAAAGATTTTTTGAATAATATTTCTATTGGTTTTAAAGTTGTGTCTCCAGTGAGTGAGTAGGTTGTGATATGTTCTCATGATGTTCTGAAACCTTCAAATCAGTTTTAGGTTTCCTTCTATATGTTCTCATGATGTTCTCAAGATGTTCTAAAACACTCTAACCTGTTTTAGGTTTCCTTCTATATGTTCTCATGATGTTCTCATGATGTTCTGAAACCCTTAAATGTGTTTTAGGTTTCCTTCTATATGTTCTCATGATGTTCTTATGATCTCAACATTTTGAGGCTAATTCTCAATTTGTTCAGACTAACACAGTGATGAGACCTGATTGGTTTTTTATCTAAGATTTTTACAGCTCTATTGCAGTGTTTTTCAACCTTTTTTGAGCCAAGGTACATTTTTTCATTGAAAAAATCCCGAGGCACACCACCAACCAAAAATGTTAAACAAATCTTTACCCGGCTATAGTAACACTATAGTTATTCTTATCTTATTCTTATCTTATCTTAAGTGTCTTGAATAGGAATCAAATAAACACAAAAATGTATTTTTATCATATTTTATATTTCTTCTTTCAAATTGCTCTTAACATGTCCACTTCAATATACAAAATTATATACAAAATCTAGTCATAAGGAATTATTACATGATTACTCCACCAGTCACTAGAACAGCACACACACTCAAAAATGGCATATTTTTTGCAGAAAATTAATTCTTTATCAAAAAATCTTTTTAGACCAATTAGGTGAAATAGGATGTCAGAAAGATCTTAAAGCATGTCTGAATGGTATTCTTCATTCTACTTCTGAAGTTTAACTTGCTGTTTATGATTAAATAAACAGTGGGTGATAAAAGTCCAGAGCTATTTGGTTATCAGAGTTTTCTTCATTGTGGTAAATGGTAAACAAAGAAACATTAGTTTCATTAGCATTAGTCTTAAAGTAATGTGACATATGCATAGAGAGGCCAAAGCACATTAATTGTCAGTTAAGGAAAACTTTGGAATTAAAAAAGAAAGAAAAAGACTTAGACTTGTACTTTATTGATCCCTTGGGAAGACTCCCTCAGGAAATTAAAGTTACCAGCAGCTCACAGGGCAAAAAAAGTGTCACACAGAGAGCAAAATTAAGCAAAAAAAAAAAAGAAAAAACTACAGATTAAGTACAGGTACACACTAAATGTGAATAGCCCCAAAAAATAAGAATATATATGCAAAGTAATAATAAACACCCCTAAATTGAGCAAAAATCAGCAAAGAATCAGAATATAAATACAAAGGAAAAAAATAAAACCCCTAAGTTAAGCAAAAATAAGCAAAGAATAAAATATAAATACAAAGTAAAAAATAAAAACCCCTAAATTAAGCAGAAATCAGCAAAGAATAAAATATAAATACAAAGTAAAAAATTAAAACTCCTAAGTTAAGCAAAAATAAGCAAAGAATAAGGATATAAATACAAAGTAAAAAATAAAAACCCCTAAATTAAGCAAAAATAAGCAAAGAATAAGAATATAAATACAACGTGAAAATAAAGACCCCTAAGAAAATCTAGGAGTTTGGTGGATAGAAGGCATTGAAAAGGTAATAACCATAGAAACTATACAGAAGATTACATGAGGCTTGAGGGCTTTTAAGAACTTTTTTTCTGCTAAAAATGGTGTTTATGTTTATTTTTACCTAAGGATTTTACCTGGTTATGGCTCTTTGGAGGTTCCTAGCAGGAAATTGACAGATATAGTGATGAAACTTCACAATAACTCTTATAAACAATGAATATCAACGTCGTTAAATGACATTTTCTTAATTCCTTCTATATGAAAAGGTTAATATTTACATACTAAAACACCAATATCTCCATGCCTTAATTAAAAGTCCTTATTTGAAATTAAATAATTCAAAACTATCTATTAAATTTCCTCTCTTTGAACTAACAAATGGTCAGGTGAGCCGTAGAAAATCATCCTATTTCACCTAATTGCTCTAAAAAATATTTTTGATAAGGAATTAATTATCTGCAAATAATATTCCATTTCTGAGTGTGTGTGCTGTTCTAGTGACTGGTGGAGTAATCATGTAATAATTCCTTATGATTTTGTATATACGGTACTATATTGAAGTGGACATGTTCAGAGCAATTTAAACACGAGTGGAAAAAATGAATCATTACTCAGACGTTAGCATACATTTTCATGCTACCCTGTTGTGGATAATTCTCCTCCTGGACATAATTAAACCATCAGAGGACGCAGTAGGTTAATTCTGTTCTTTATTTTAAAGCTCGAGGTGGTCAAAGCCAAAACTATGACCTCTGACCACAGGAGCAAAGCATTCTGGGCCTCAGAAATAAAGATAGAGGTTTATAGCAAGGACAAAAACAACTTTTCTGGTAGATGTTTAGCCCTATAATGCCATATGTGTCATATTATATAAAATTGATGTGTTTAGGTATCGAAAGCTGTATCATAAGATGGAACTATAATAAGTAGTGATTGTCCAGAGCATAGGGTTAGTTATTTTTAAGGTTATTTTGAAGGTTTCTAAGGTTTTAATGTACCACCTGTCTGGAAGTTTAACTCTAACCACTGATAGAAATGTGGTAACTACATTTAAAATGTATATGTTTATATATGGAGAGCTGTATCATAAGATTAAAGTTTGGAACAATAATAAGTAGGAATATAGCTGTGGATAAACTGTTATTTTTAATGTTTTCATGGACCACCTGTCTGGAACTCTAACCCTAACCACTGATAGAAATATAGTATATATATATATTAAATTGATATATTTAGGCATCAAAAGCTGTATCATAATATATAAATTTGGATCAATAATCACCAAGTAGGGATTGTCCAGAGCATAGCTATGGATAAACAGTTATTAATCCAATATTCGTCCTATTTTTCTTGGATCAGCCTTTGAAGGGTTTAGGTCAGTGATGTTTACCATGGTCAAATCTATACAAAACGTTTTAACTGAAATGTTATTTTACCATAATTGACGCCATTGCATCCATTAAATAATTTCCCTGTGGGGTTGTTACAGTTTTTCTGATTCTGAAACTAGGGAACAGATCTGTTGGAGCCTGATTTGTGAGATGGCTCAAACTGACTTTGACCATCCAAGAAGATATGAATCCTTAACGAGTTTGATACTTAACGAGTTGGATCCTTAACGAGGCCTTAACGAGAATTCCTCTAACTGGACTATGATCAGTCCAGGTTGCTCTATGTTGGAACGCAGGTTTTTATTTTTGAGTAAAAGGGTTCTGGCCTCAGGTCCCTGAGTTCCCACTGAGTCTCTGGGTAATTTTGCCTTAATGTCAAACGCTAAAATTAACCCTGTAAAGCCAAATGTGTCATATTTGATACGGTTTCTGAAATGTTTTGCGTCTGACACCTTTTGGATAATTTAATGGTAAAAACTTTGCTCTAAATCCTATTGAACACAATCAGATACACCTGATAACAGGGGGCAGAAGATACACAAAAAATAATCTGGACTTATCGCAAAGTAATAAATTATTAATATTAAAAAAGTATCTCTGTTTTTTCTTTTTACA